GGAAACTGGCAGATTACTACATCTCTGCTACTATTTGGAATTATAGACTGTTACTCACGTGTTCATATATTTTACCTGCTTTAGCCCCTCAATAACTCTGATTTCCTTTTCTTAGCTAATGAACCTTTAGTTGGTTTACTATAGAATTGGCTGCCAATACCAGCACTGCCTTTGCTGTAAGATCTGGAGTACCAATTGATCTGGGTTATGTGACTGGTCTCTTGGGACTGGGAGCAACCTGATGTGGTGATTTTTGGTGTAAGTGACCTTTTATTACGAAGTCCAGTTTGTCCGGATGGTAAGATAGACTGGAGACTCCAAGGGGACTGTCTGTGACTCCATGGTAAGACTGTTATAGTGATCCAGGAGTTCACATTTGTTACTGGCTTGGTGAAATCTAATTATCAACCACACCACCAGTCTGGAGTGTCTGTCCTGTTTTCTGACAGTCTGTCCTGAGGCAGAAATTCATGGTCGTGAGCAACTCCAGACAGCATGATGGTTTCTTTCCTTCCCCATTATCTATCCAGGCAACAGAAAATGCACTGGATGAGCTTGGGAGTGGGGGGAGCTGGTGAGCTCAGAGGAAATCCCAAAGACTAAACAATATAGTGGACAAACATGAAGAAGCAGGACAATGATGGCTAGCGAGTCCAGAGTCACAAGGACTAGCAAGCCCAGAGAAGCTATTTAGTATTTTTATCAGTGACCTGGAAGAAAACCTAAGATTATCACTGGTAACGTTTGCAGAAGACCCAAAGATTGGGGGAGTGGTAAATAATGAAGAGGACAAGTCACTGATACAGAGCAATCTGGATCACTTAGTAAGCTGGGTGCAAGCAAACAATATGCATTTTAATATGGCCAAATGTAAAGTTAGATATCTAAGAACAAAGAACGGGGACTATCCTGGGAAGCAGTGAAAAATATGTGTGTGGGGGGGCAGGGTCATGGTGGGTAATCAGCGGAACAAGAGCTACCAGTGTGATGCTATATTGAAAAGGGCTAATTGGATCCATGAATGTAGGTAGGTTATATTACTTCTGTATTTGGCACTACTGTGACCACTACTGGAATACTTGGTTCAGCTCTGGCATCCACAATTCAGCAAGAATGCAGATTAATTGGAGAGGGTTCAGAGAAGAGCCACGAGAATGATTAAGAATTTGAAAACATGCCTTATAGGCTACATCTACACTATGAGCTAGGGTGTGATTCCTCTGCTCATACACACCTAGAGTCATAGATCCATAGGTTCCAAGGCCAGAAGGGACCGTTGTGGTCATCTAGTCTGACCTCCTGTATAACACAGGCCAGAGAACTGCCCCAAAATGATGCCTAGAGCAGATCTTTTAGAAAAACAGACAATCTTGATTTAAAATTGTCGGTGATGGAGAATCCATGATGGCCCTTGGTAAGTTGTCCCAGTGGCTAATTAGTCTCACGTAAAAATTTACACCTTATTTCCAGTCTGAATTTGTTTAGTTTCAACTTCCATCCATTGAGTGATGTTACACCTTTCTCTGCTAGATTGAAGAACCCATTATCAAATATTTGTTCCCCATGTCGGTGCTTACAGACTGTAACCAAGTCACCCCTTAACCTTCTCTTTGTTAAGCTAAATAGATGAAACTCCTTGAATCTATCAATATAAGTGTTGGGAGTGTAAGGTGGGAAACTGAGTCACAAGTCCACCCAATTTAGGCTTATTTATAAAATTTTCAGATAGAATTGCCACTTTCTGAACATGTATTTATGCCAGACAATAAACAGATAAGATGGAAGAGGTAGGAGCCCAAGTTACTCAGCACTGGGGTTCTGGGAAGCTCTTCTATACTTCATGATGATTGTCACAGCCTCTGATTCCTGGTCTGGTCCATCAGTCTCATTCCTTCAGTTTCTGGTCTGGTATTTCTCCAACTTGGGCCCCCCCCTTCTCTTGTCTTCTTATAAATTTCTACATTACAAAATCTTTAACTTTTTTCCAATCAGCATTAAGCACTCTCTGATGTAGCCCGTACAACATGCATGGACAAGCTTCAATTTACACAACATTTGCTGTTTGCACTATTTGCACGTCCTTATGTTTTCACATCTTTTTGTTCTTGGGCTTTCCCAGTAAAGGGACTTTTAACTAGTATAAGAAATACACAAAAGGAAAGTTAGCTTTACATTTATCTAAAATTTGCAGCATAACAAAATATCGCTGTCAGCAGTAAGCATTATCTAAGCCAGTCCATGTAAAAAAAAAATTGGCAAAACACCAGCCAAGCCAAGGCCATGGCATAAGCGTTACCTCATTCAAACTTATTCACTATTCATAACTATAAACTATTAAAGTAACAAAGCCCTTGTTACCATTTAGCAATTCATCTTTATATTTCAATTTCATAATTCAGTATACCTATGTTATCCTAACCTGCCCCAGTGGATCATAACCTTGACATGGTGGAGCAGCTTGAGTGTTCCCATGATTCCGAGAGCGATGCCATCGGGAGTCTTGCACTCCCTGTAGGGTCACCCAAGGAAGCAACGTCAAAGGTGAGGTTCCAGACGAACAGCAATCCACCCCACCCCACCCCAAGTCCTCAACATCAGTGATTTCTCTCAACAGCTGTGGAGGTGGACGAAGGCTGCAACAGGATGGCGTTCTCCAATCTTCTTGGTTCCCTTGCCGTTGGATTAGGACCTTCAGCCTGTCAAGCACCATGTGGGCACTGGCATCTCCACGTTAAAAGAACTCATGCACATATGTCCAAGTCCAGCACCCAGGTGGCAGGTGTTAGATGGTCGTTTTTGCATTTGGACAGAGGCAGGAGTGCAACTCAGCAGCTGCGACTGACTGAGCTGCCCTTTTTAGGACCTGCTCTGCTCACCCCACATGGGGAGGAGGCTAGAAAAGGTGCCCTGCACATAGTCTTCCTTGCCTCCCCCCAACTGCATAACCGCATTCAGAGGGATTGCCTTACTGCAATGGGTACCCATCCATCTGCTTCTTAGAATGGACTTTTCTAAATGCAGCTTTGCCTAGAAATTTGGAAAGAACATATTAAAGGCAAAAATGGTCAGGACAGAGAGAGTACCATGGTATTCACTCCATTTTTAATCCTTACCAGTGCTTTCTCATTGGTTTTCCCAACCTTTGGCCTTTTATACCTACCAAAGACGTTGGTACCAGTAGGTTTTGCTGCGCTTATGTTCTTTTTGCCAGCAGGGCACCAGAACAATGGGGGCTCAGGGGCCATGGCCCTCCCACTTTTTACCAGCCATAAGGGCAAGCGACATGGGATAGGGGGTGGAGAGGAACTAGTGGGGATGGGGTCATGGGGGGGCAGGGAAGAGGTGGCGCAGGAGCAGGGCCTCGGGGAAAGAGGCAGCATGAAGGCGGGAGCTTGGGGGGCAGGGCCATTGTTCCCTTCTTTTAGGGTGCTTCCGCCGCTCCTGTTTGGCAGTCATACCAGGAGAACATCAATGATCCTTCCATTGTCAGTGCTGATAGGTGAAGGGTCACTTACACCATGTTTTCTCTTCAACTGAGGTAGTTCATGCAGCAGTTCCTTCTTGAAGTGGGTTCATGGGAAATTGCCATAATTAAAGTCCTGATACCGGTACATACAGAACATTATTAGGAATCCAAAATTAATTTATCCCATTGAAAGATAGTCTTACCTGCTAGCTTCTCAATTCAGACTCATGTCACTTAACTTTTTAATGCACTTTTTAAGCATTACTGCCTCTGCATCTCCGACGTCACCTTCAAGATATCATGTTCATGCTAGATTTCTCATTAATTCCACTGCACTAGGAAATTAAACTAGTGTCTGATGGCTGGTACCAGTGCATTTTGCTCTCATGGATCCATGCAGTAGAAAGACCTGACAGTCAACTGATGCTTGAATCAAGTTGCCAACACAGCACTGAGTCAGTGCAAGTCTCTCTGGAGTTGCCTGATACTGTGCCACTAATGTAGGCATGGTGAACACCCCCACCATCCTGCAATGGTGCTCCAGAAAAGGTATAAAGGGTGTTTCTTTTCAAATCCATCCATCCAAGAATGGTAGTTTTCCAGTGTTTCTGCTTCATACTGGGGCTGATTGGAGAATGGCCGTCCTTTCCAAAGAAATGTGCATCTTCAGATGGAAAAAAGTGACATAAGCACCACTCAGATGTTGGAGATGTTGCGAGGAATGGGAATTTGAATTGTGGCCTTTGAGCTGAGACGCCTTCTCACACAGCCCATCCCCAAGGGGCCATCCAAATGAAAACCAAGAAGATACCACAGTGCAGGACAGCAAGCCGTTCCCTCTCTCTCACCCATCGCCACAATGAACTCCAGTTTGTGCTATGTAGTGGGACAAGGCAATTGCACACAGCTGTCCAACTCAAATACACACATGGTGGGCACTAACTGCACAGTTCTAGCGCCCTACCAACTCTTGCTCTGAACAGTCAGTGCCTGCTGCTTCCGCCATTCACATTCTTAGGAGAGCGTGAGCCCTGGAGCTTCTCTGACCTCTCCTAACTAAATCTTTCTGTCTCAGGACAGCTCAGCACTTACCCTCGAGGCATAACAAGCCCTTTTATCTGTCCATTTTCACATCCACTCCCTGGCACTTCCCAAACATCAATGCTTTATTCCCAGCAGCACCCAGCTATGGTGGGGATTATTAATTATTATTATTATTATATCACGTCTATTTTACAGCTGGAGAACTCAGACACAGGGATTAAGTGACTTGCTTAGGATCACACAGAGTCATTAGCAGAGCTCAGCTGAGAATTGAGACCAGGGTGCCTGTGTCCCAAACCAAAGCCTTCACCCACAAGGCCAGCCCCTTTCACTGCCACGTTTGCTTTCCCTCAAGCGTTTTCTCTGCCCCATTTAAATGGCATGAGACAGCGCTACATATTCCTGCCCTCATCGCTGTGCTTTTGTCAATTTTGGACTGTGTCAAAGGTAACTAAAAGCAGCCTCTGGTTGTTTCTCTTCTGTGTTGCAGGTGTCCTGTGGCTATCGGTCGTGTCTGAAGTGTTGTACATCACGCTGTTAGTCGTTGGGTTCAGCCTCATGTGCCTAGAGCTCTTCCATTCGAGTAATGTGATAGATGGGCTCAAGCTAAATGCCTTTGCTGCTGTCTTCACTGTGCTGTCAGGTAAGGGACCTTTCCACTCCTCAGTCCGCCTGGGACATCCAACGAAGTGAGATTCTGAAACTTTGAAAGGTTGAAAACACAGGACTGCCGGGCTCCTCTCAGCCATGTGCAGCTCGCCAGGTTTCATTAGAGCTTTGGGAAAGGGTCAGCACAGTAGTGCTGCCGATAGCCCTGTAGAATTGAAAATACCTGGAGCTAAATCCAAAGTGATGGCACGCTCGTTAATCGTCCTACGCCACCGACACTGCCCTGACTGTGTCATCTAGGAACCTCCTCTCTCAGCATCACCCTCCTGGTCACCAAATAGGAAAACGAGAAGGTGTGTTTTGAAAATCCCTTTTTAATCTTCACGTTAAAGAAGAGAGGAGGGCTAGAGGGTGCAGGAAAAAGGAAAGGGGTCTAGCTGATGCATTAGGAGAATTAAGATTGAGAGGCATTCTAGTATCCACAATGGGTGAAGAAAACTTGGTGTTACCAAAGGACAGCTCAGGAACAACTCCATGGACACGAATGGGGAAGTTCACACCTCTCAGATCTATTGTCTCAGGCTGGCTGCAGATTCCAGCAGACTAAACCGTGTTAGGCTTTGTCTACACTGCAGCTGGGACTGTGCATCCCAACCCGAGTAGATTGATGCACACCAGCTCTGTTTGTGCTAGCATGCTAAAATGAATAGCGTGGATGTTGCAGCACAAGCTGCGGCATGGGCTAGCCACCTGAGCTTGGGGGTCAGCCAGGATTGCACTTGGGCAGCTAAGCCATGCCAATTCCTATGCTGCAATGGCCACACTGCTATTTTTAGTGTGCTAGCTTGAGCAGAGCTAGCATGAGTCTGTCTGCCCAGGCTAGGAGGCATGCTCCCAGCTGCAGTGTAGACAGACCCATTTTGTTCTCAACCATGCATTCTAGACACAGAGTGAAAGTGAGGGTCTGGGGACAGCATGTGAATGCTGCAGCCGGGGTCCCTGGTATATCCCTAATGTGCTTTGCTTCCCTGCCAGCTCCCTGACTCCTGAACTTGCTGGAGCCCTAAACTGTGACTCTTGCACTAGGACAGAATTTGATGGGGTATCTCAGAAGGGTGAGGATGGCCACACACTCTTGAAACATGGCATCTGACCCTGTGTGTGATTCCCTCTCACACAGCCTGTACGTGTGGGGTCATGCAAATGAAAACCAAGAAGATACAAGAGTGCAGGACAGCAAGCCGTCCGCTCTCTCTCACCAATGGCCACAATGAACTCAGCAGCACTCCAGTTTGTGCTAGGCAGTAGACAAGTGAATTTCACAGATGTTTCACTGTGAAGGGGGAGAATTACAACATTAACTTCCTTGTTGCTACTGTGATTGCAAAGAGAAAGTTCCATCTTCTGGAATCCACCCTTTAGCAAACCTAGCAGTGCACATATTTCTTTTCCCTCAGTGGTAAAGATGCCTGCGCTGTCGTTTCCAAACCTCCATGCTATGTGTCTTTGGAACCCGCTCATTAATCTGCCCCAAGATCAGGAAGTAGCCACTTGCCCCCACCCCCAAGGGCTAGTAAAATACAATCCACGGCTTGCTTACCACCAATCTTCATTGAGCAACTGCTCTGCAGCCACAACCCCTCTCCATGTCTCTGTCCCCTCCCCAAATTCTCTATCTCCAGCTCCCCCCCAATCACTATAACAAAAAAATTGGTGAGACTGGCTGCTGACAACTCTGCTGTGTTCACATCAAGCATCCCCATAAAACAAAAGCATGCTCTATTATAACAGAGACAACTTGTAGCAAGCAACGCGAGTTTTTAAATCTTATTGCTCAGATGTACCAAAAGTTCACACTAGAAACATCAGGGGTGGGGTGTTCACCAGGGGCACTGGCTTTGACACATTCCCACACAGGAGCGCCGCCAGCTTTTTTGCTGCCGTAGGCGGCGGAAGGTGCCGCCCCCGACAGAGGCGGCGGAAGGTCCCGCCCCCGAAATACCGACGACGACCGGGGCGGCCGAAGATTCGGCCGCCGCGGTCGCCATGGTTGCCGCCCCACAAATGTTAGTGCCCTAGGTAACCACCTAGGTCGCCTAATGGGTTGCGCCGGCCCTGTTCCCACAAACTACCCAGGCAACCATACAAAAAAGGACACTCCACGGGGGCGGTGTCAGCCCTGCGCACAGTCCACCGCCGCTCCTCCCACGCTCCGCCCCCACTCTGCCCCAGGTCCTGCCCCCTCCCCACTCAGCCCCGCCACCACACCCCTCCTGACCCCTTGGCCCGCCGCTGGCTTGCTGCGTCCCTCCTCAGTCTCCCACCCACCACTCGCCTCCTCCCACCTGCCAGAAACCCCCATGCCTGCCCCGAGAACCCCCGCCTGCTGCTGGCTCGCTGCTTCTTGCCTCCTCACCCCCGCCCGCCCGCCCACCCACCCACCCGCTGCTGCCTTCCTCGCCGCTCGCCTCTTCAACCCCCGCTGCCTGCCGCTGGCCTTTTCACCCCCCTGCCTACCGCTGGCCCGCCGCCCACCTCCTCACCCTCCCGCCTGCTGCTGCCTTCCTCGCCGCTTGCCTTTTCAACCCCCGCTGCCCGCCGCTGGCCTTTTCACCCCCCTGCCCGCCTACTCACCCCTCCTGCCGCAGGTCCCCCTGGCTCCTAGGATCAGGGGCAGCCGAGGGGTTTCCACGTGCTGCACCCGCCACAAGCACGAGCTCTGTGGCTCCCAGTGGCCAGGAAAAGCACCAATGGGAGCTCCCAGAGCCAGGCTTGCAGGCACCAGCAGCGCACAGAGAGCCCTCTGCCTCCCGCAACCCAACCCGACCCTAACAGCCAGAGGGACCTGCTGGGGGGCTAGGTGGGGAGTCCCGGCGGTGCTTACCTGGGGCGGCTCCTGGGAAGCATCTGTCAGGTCCCTCTGGCTCCTAAGGTTGGGTCAGGGGAGGGGGGAAGGCTCTTTGCCTGCTGCCGGCGCCTACAAGCCCGCAATGGCCCCTTCCCACTGTCCCACCTCTCCTCTCCCGTACTCCACAAGCCTTCCTCACCCGAACCCCCAGTCTGCACTGACAGGGCTGAGAGTGCAGGGCGGTTTGGGAGCA